TTAACACACAAAAAAGGCTGGGGCCCTACAAAAAATTTTCAGGGGCCCCCAGCAACTCGGGGCCCGGGGCAATTTGCCCCCTTTGCCCCCCCCCCCTCTGGGCGGCCCTGGTTAGTGGCCCCACTAACAGTAGACGCACTGTAAGGGAGGGTTAATCAGTGAAAGGCAATTGGGTGGTCAGGTGCTAGTTTCTCCAGGAATAACACCACAGAGGTGTCCCACCTTTCATGTGAGAAGTTCTTAATACAAAAAGCTCTCACTACTGTAGTTGTCCTGTGCATGAAGGGATCTTAAGGCATTTGCCTCCATTCCCCTCATGGTTCCAGTACTGTACCATTTACAACTTCCTATGTTTTAATATCAGTATTCAGCACCTGTGCTACCAAATAATATTTCCATGTTTCCACCCACACCAGAGGATTTGCACCTTTAAAGTGACCTCTTTTATCCATAACTGTCAGTGCATGACCCTCAGTGCTCACCTGCAAGGATGCAGAGATTTGCACTTTCCAGATAAGCTGATTCCTAATTATCCATCTCTACTTTTCATTTCACAGTAGGTGTTGCAATGGCAATGCGTGAACTTGTAGAGGGGGCATGTGGTGGGGCAAATCCCTTGATGAAATTTGTCTCCCATTACACCCAGGACAAGTCCTTGACTCAGGTAAATATTTCCTGAATTTTTAGTGAAATAGGTTTAGGATTTTGATCCAATGTTTAAGGCATATTGTGGAAAATTGTCTATGTAAGCTAACTTAACCTTGTTCCTTTGCAGGCCGGCCTTAGAAACCATATACCACCAAGTAGCAGCCATCCTCAGGTAAATGGATTAATAATTGTACACACTTGTACACATCCAGTTGTTCTGACAGGATTAAATGCAATCAACATTAACTTTTCTATGTTACAGGATCCCAGAAGCTTCCATGAAGCCACAGAGCGAGAGGTAGGCTGAAACATCTTTCAAATACTCTAAGGACAAGGGGCATTTTGAACCACAAAATATACTCTTCTTTGAGAAAATCTTAATGTAAAATTGTCGGGTTCCTTATACAATGTAAAGTATGACTTTCAAATGTTCCCTAGCTTGCTACTCTTGTTTAACTAAATGAGTGCAAACCACAAACCAATTACATTAACAAACCCACCATTTCAACAATCCAGCATTATTCCCAATCTCCTGCCTTCATCAGGGGTGTTCTAAATTCCTAACTGATCCATTTTAGCTTGTTGGTGAATATTTCAATGATTTGCAACATCATTATGGCGCTCCACAAACATTCCGTATGGACAGCTTGTTGCATGAGATCAATCAGGTTGAAGCACCTGGACTTTTACATCCTGTAATCCCAGGTATGTGGTGAACATTTCAGAATGTTCTGTGATGACCTTTCTCTTATTACTACACTGCAGTAGATTCATTGGCCAATGGGAATAACAGGAGAATTTCCCTGGTAGGTCCCCAGTATTAAGACAAGAAATAGGCTGAAGGAACCACCACAATCTACTAAACTGGGCTCCCTAAGTTTCATTTCCCCTGAACTTTTCAGAGATATATACATTGTACATTGTCATACATTATACACTGCTCAATCCCCATCGCAGCTCATCTGCTCACAGATTTTACTGACTTAGCCTAGACCATTTATCTTTACAACAATTATTTGCGATATTACTTTCCTAACAATGTTTATCCTAACTCACTCTGTCAACTTTCCCTGTGGCTGGAAACCAGAGCACCTTGCATGAGAAAACCCTCAACTTTCAGCAGAACATTGACAGACTTTTTTCACAACTGCACCACTGCAGCCACCCGACTCCTTACCATCAGAATGTGCATGTGTTCACTATTATTGCTGAAATTTTATCAATCAAGTCTGTGTCATTCTATATGATAGGCACCTTTATTCAGGGATGGATCCAGCATGATCTGGTAGGGGGGGGTGTGCTCTGGTGCCAAGTTGTGTCGGTCATGTGTGCTGCCCGCCCATCAACTTGCTTCACTACTGCAAAGTCTTGCTTGACTACTGTATTGGAATTGTAATTGTTGTTCACAGTTCGCTTATCATCATGTTATTACTCAAAATACTGTATCTCATTTTGCCTAATAATTTTTTTGCTTTATCATGAAAAATAGCACCCCCTGGCCAGGGCTAGGGGGGTGCACCCCCCTGCACCCTCCCAGTAAATCCATGCCTTTATTGTTAATAAGATAACTGTGGATTGCGAGGGATATCTTTACCGTTATCAGGTTAAAAAAAACAACTTATAAGGTATATAATTATGTCTCTAAAACATTTTTGTTCCACAGGTACCGATGTCTGGACTGAAGAATACCTAGTCACAGCCAATGGTCCAGAAGGTACAACATGCTATACATGTAGATACTAGACATTCATTTAATCATATTACTTTGCATTCCAGTATCAAGCTTGATTACCCAATTTTTTCATTTCAATCTGTTTATCAATTTCAGCCTGGATTGAAGAGTATGAAGATGAAGGTCATACATACCCAAATAAATATGCTGGTAAAATGTTGTTGTTGCTTTCTTATTGAAACACTCTTATTGAAAAGAGAAACTGTTAAAAGGATCATATCATTTTTCATTTAGAACCAGCACAAGCAGCTATTCCAACAAAATGGGCATCTGAATACCTTGAAAATTTGAGGTATTAATATTATGGTACCATTACTAGCAATAGTGCTTTAGGTAATAACTCGAACACTCTGTGCCAGTGTAGGTAGCTGAATCCATATCTACCTGCATTCCTTTAGACAATAAGGCAATATACCATTTCAACTTTCTATATGTTTTTGTCTCTCAGACCAGCTGATTTGAGCAAGGAAACAATCACAAGGTTAGTTTCATTCATCCATGGGAACAAGGCATTCATATCATAACACGTAAAGAAACTAATTTACTGAGTAACTTTGTATTACCATCTCCTGCTTATCCCCCATCTTGTAATGACTGTGAGTGCACATTCTGGGCTACAAAAGATATATTTCTTTCCACAACAGTCAAGAGTCAAGCAGCAAGGAGGTAAAAGATGCATCTAGTTCACTTTTGGATTGTGCAGAAGATCCACGATTTGCAAATTCAAAGGTAAAGCAAGGGTTGTCACTGAATGAACTTCTTCCAAACTCGTATTGCACGTAGATGCCTCTTGATCAAAAGTGTGCTGCCCCTGTGTCCAATCTTTATACAGTAGCACTCAACAACTCTGTAAGATTTTAGTGTCTTCCCCAGGTTTGGTATTTCTGAACAGTAGTGCATGCAGGGTTGTCATTTTTACGCAATAAAGTCTTCTTTTCAAAGCATGGGAAGCTTCTTTCCAACTCTTATCGTAATTAGAGCAGCTGTTTCTGCAAAATGTACCATCGACATTTGGTTTTGATATGACTCCATTATATGGCAGTTAAAGATCGTCAATAACTTGGTGAAATTTCTGACTAAATCAAATCAAATTCAGTAAGGTTTGATAATCTTTCTTTTAGTTCTTTAAATTTATAAAGAAATTGAGCACTGGAGAGTATAAAATTGAAGATAACAAGGCATGTTTTTGCATTATTTGATTAAAATGCTCTTCACCATTGTATTAATTTGACCACTATATACATGTCATCGTAATATGAGATTCATGCAGAAAAAGTAAAGCACGTCGTTTCATCAGCAAACCACAATATACGTGTAATTTTTAATTATATGAAGTGAATATACCAGCTATATTGCCACGGGACAAAGGGACGTTATTTTTCATAACTTAAATAAATTTTGTAGGTTATAGATGTTCAAAGTGGTAAGGAAGTGAAATCTGGCGAAGAAGCAGATCGATGGGTGGATGAATATGAAGCAACAATCTCAACAGATGAATATCAATGGTTGGACGAATATACCGCAGGAGAGGTACTTCATTAGGATTTGTAGTATAATTTTCTTTACGTGTTAATGTACAGTACGTGGTCATTTAGCAGAAAACGAAATATCACTTCATTATCAGACACCCTTAAGAACGATTTCCTCTTAAGCATAGATGTGTGTAATCATTTTAGAAAATAATATCACTCATTCACTGCATTATTGTCATCGAATACAGATGTATGTAACCATTTAAACGAAGAAAAAAAAATTTCATTATCAGACACTCTCAAGGACGATTTCCTCTTTGGCACAGTCTGCAAAGATGTGTGTAACCATTGCATTACTGCATTATTTGTCATCGAATACAGATGTATGTAACCATTTAAACGAAGAAAAAAATAGCAGAAAACGAAATATCACTTCATTATCAGACACCCTTAAGAACGATTTCCTCTTAAGCATAGATGTGTGTAATCATTTTAGAAAATAATATCACTGCATTATTTGTCGTCAAGTACAGATGTATGTAACAATTTAAAAGAAAAAAAAATCTCTTCATCATTATCAGACACTCTCAAGGACGATTTCCTCTTTAGCATAGTCTGCAAAGATGTGTGTAACCATTGCATTACTGCATTATTTGTCATCAAGTACAGATGTATGTAACCATTTAAACGAAGAAAAAAAATTTCTTCATCATCAGACACTCTCAAGGACGATTTCCTCTTTAGCATAGTCTGCAAAGATGTGTGTAACCATTCCATTACTGCATTATTTGTCATCGAATACAGATGTATGTAACCATTTAAACGAAGAAAAAAAAATTTCATCAGACACTCTCAAGGACGATTTCCTCTTTGGCATAGTCTGCAAAGATGTGTGTAACCATTGTATTACTGCATTATTTGTCATCACATACAGATGTATGTAACCATTTAAACGAAGAAAAAAAAAATCTCTCCATCATTATCAGACACTCTCAAGGACGATTTCCTCTTTAGCATAGTCTGCATAGATGTGTGTAACCATTCCATTACTGCATTACTTGTCATCAAATACTGATGTATGTAACCATTTAAAATTGTATTTAACCATTTAGCATACTGTAGTCTGCATAGATGTACTTTGAAAAATAACTTTGTTTGAAAAATAACTTTGTTTGAAAGCTCAGACTGGAGGAAGGAGAACGGAATTGATAATTCAAGTACTAAACACAGTAACTGGCGGTAAACTTCGTGCCACCCGCCGGGTTATTTTGAAAGCCCTGTATCAGACATTTTAAACAGGACGGTTTGCTCTTAAGTGTTGATGAACGTGCCGTATATACTTAGTTATTTTTCTGTGAAAATCGTCAGCATATTATCATACTCGCAGGAAAGTTTTTTTTGGACATTAACTGTGTATTCATTTTTTAGGTTCACGACGATCATGGCCAAACTGCAGCAGATCAGACAGTTAAGGTAAATGATGGAGAGGTTTTTCTCAAATGTTCTTAATATTCCTTCTGTTAAAATTCACCACCATTTCAAGTGAACCAAAGTTTTTATGACCTACAGGCCGATGGTGATTTTTGGGGTAAACTGGAAGAAGAATGGTACAACCTTGCCAGGTATTCAGTTTATCAACATCCACCACATGCATTTACATTTTTGGAACATCTTCCCACAATTTTTATTTCTCCAGTTATTTTTTGCACAATGAAAGTACAGCATATGTTGTTGGCTTTTATAGAGACAATATAGATGATCATCCTTGGTTAGCTGAGTATACGGCTGAAAAGGTTTGTATCTCTAGATGAAGGATGTATCTATTCAATATCCATTACCATTAAATAGCCACTAACTGTGCTACGTACAATATCTTCGACCTCGCTTAGGATTACGCGTTTGAGGAAAACAATCCGATGATGGAAATACCTAATCCTTTTGAAGAAGGACTAAAGAAATTGAAAGAAGGAGATATCATCAGTGCCATACTTTTGTTTGAAGCTGAGGTACGTTGGAGTATACAGTGTACTATGTTCTCTCATCCTGCAAGTTAAGAGTTAAGAACTTGTCTTAAAAACTCAGTAGTTTTCATGTTGATCAGTGTGAGCTAGCTAGCACCAGAAAAAATTCAAAATCCATAAATGGAAATTGTATGAACCTTTATTAGAAATAGAATGGATTTTTGATTATCCATAATAATTGTATATTTCCATGCTATGGATATAGTATCGAAATAGTATGGATATACTATGGATTTAGTGGTCCAATTGCAAATGTCATACACCCTTTTCATAAATGGCTGCCGATTAAAAATTATTTTATGTGCATATAAATTGGCCCAACTAGCCTCGTTTCTGGGTAGAAATTCCTTTGAAATCTTAACATGAGTACGAGGCTAGTTGGGCCAATTTATATGCACATAAAAGAATTTTTAATCGGCAGCCATTTATGAAAAGGGTGTATAGTATGGATTTCACTTTTTCCCAGTGTAGAGAGCAGTGGAAGTGTTCTAATCATAATTTCTGATAAGATTAGCATGAAATATCGGGGTATCATTTTGCTGGGTAAAGTTTGCACGGTTAGCCATTAGTCCCCTTAGCCTGTGGTTGACTGGTACGTTTTCTTACATATAGGTTCAACAACGCCCTGATCACGCCGAGGTAAGTTTAGTATTGTGATGTACTGCCAAAGATCGAGTGTGACGGAAGCGGGATTCATAATGGCCATCTACGTATTAAATAAAACTATTCTTGAACATTTGTCCAAATTTAGGCGTGGCAATATCTGGGGACAAGTCAAGCGGAAAATGAACAGGATAACCTGGCGATTCCTGCTTTGAACAAGTACGATACTTCCCATCCCCAGTTCCCACTTAACCATCTAATGCTTTGGTAAACACATACAGTATTAACAGTAATAATTCCCCCTCGTTTTCTTAGATGCTTAAATCTTCAACCTGACAACCTTACCGCCTTGATGGCCGTGGCTGTTTGTTACACCAACGAGTCTCTCCAATCACAGGTAAACCAAACGTTTAATCCACACGTGGGGAAAAATGCTTCCCTTGATGAAAACCTTTTATAGGGATCGTTTTTGAGAGTCGCACATAATCACTGATTACCTCGTGTGTTTGTTGATTTTAGGCATGTGACGCTCTGAAACTTTGGCTCAGTCGAAACCCAAAGTATGTACTTTAGAAGTTATAAGGTATCCTGTTTGTTAGAAAATATGCATTACCTAATGCACCTTTCTCCTACAGGTACAGTAGTTTACTAGCCACAACATCCACTGCAGAAGATCCATCGGCTCGCAGCCCGACATTAAAGAGTTCTATGATGTCCAACTCTATGTATAATGAAGTACGCGAATTGTATATTAAGGCTGCCCAACTTGCTCCACATAATAATATTGATGCTGAAGTTCAAGTAAGAAGTCTTCTATTCATCATTTCATACTTTTTTCTTTCAACTGAACAGTTTTCTTCTATAAGATTTAAATACTTAATTGGGGATTTTACACCACAGAACGTAATGGAGAGTTTTCCTCAATAAAGTTCAAATTCCTTGGACATGTTACTCGATAGAACATGCAGCAATACATGTATATTCATTTCTTTTTAATCCCTAGATTGGTCTTGGTGTTCTCTTCAACCTCTCTGGAGAATACGACAAGGCGGTCGACTGTTTCCACGCTGCCTTACAGACCAACCCTCAAGATGCCCTTGTTTGGAATAAGCTGGGAGCAACGTTAGCCAATGGTGGACGGAGTGAGGAAGCCGTAGAAGCATACCGTCATGCTTTGGAGTTAAGTCCTGGTTACGTCCGCGCACGATATAACCTGGGAATTAGTTGCGTTAATTTGAAGGTTTTTCGTGAAGCTGTAGAGCATTTTCTAACATCCTTGAATATTCAAAGAAAGGTGAGGCAAATCGTTTAAAGAAAAAAACGAAAACAGGGCCATATTGGGATTCCGCCCCTCTGCTGGTAGATGGAGTAATAAGACTAGCCAACGAACTCAGTGCAGTATCGTTCAAACAACAGCCAATAGATTACTTTCCTTTTCCTGTTTAAGTTGGACTATTTTGAGTACTCTTTTTTTCTTAGGGCGTTCGTGCTGGACGTGACAGTACTTCGACAATGTCTGAAAGTATTTGGACAACATTACGAATGTCTTTATCTCTGATGGGAAGACCTGAGTTTCACGAGGCTGTAGATAACAGAGATCTGGACTATCTGAATGGACAATTTAATGTACATATAATAGAGGAGCCGAGCTGATTTGTGCAGCGCGCACGTGTTTGGCACGCACCGATGGAGGTACAGTATACGTGAGTTGAGATCGAATTGGTTGAGAAGACGTTTATGAGAATTAAGACCTTTATATTATATTTATAAACTGGAACACTGATTCGTCAGAGTTTCGAGGCCCAGTTAATGCGATTGAATCTTAACGTACATTGGAATCCAGAACTCCATTTTGGTGAAATATTTTCTCCCGTGAGAATTAAGACTTAAGTTCAACATTGTACTTATATTAAACAGGAGTACTGAGTTGTAAACACTACGATTGAACCTGAGCCAATTTTTCAAAAAATTTCCTGTGGTCCCAAGACACATCGGATTCTAACCTTCCTTTCTCAGGAATGAAAATGCATAAAATGATTTTTGGGTACTTGCCATGGTCATCCTTAATTCCTTACGGATGGAACCTCAGTTTGCTCCCGGGAATTTGCGCTATTTATGCTAATTAGCTCCCGCCGTGGGCCACCTCCGTGATAATTACTCAATGGAAAACAGGTATCACTGATGTATTGACCATTTCATTGTCGTCACATTATAGTAACTAAACCACTGTAGTTATTAAATTGATGACGATATTCGGTGATAAAGCCTTCGCTCGAAACCTCGAGGTTCTGTTTTATATATTTTCAGGTATGTGCTTTACAACGCAGCTGTCTTTCGTGAGATAAAAGTGCGTGTAATTTATATACTTTTTATAACCAAGTGTTTTTTTCTCTTTCTTCAATGGGTCCTTTGCATATCACAGCGGCGATCGGAATTTTGACTTATTATTAGCTTCGTGCAAAGTCTCTGCATGGTTGTTTCTCTCCTGGCAACTCTCCCACGATTTCTAAAGGCCCAACCCTCACTCATCAAAAGAAGCATTGATTTATCGCGTGTTCACCTGTCACCAAGCCAGGTAGTCTTGATGAAATCCCCAAAACAGGAGCAGCATACCATAAATTATTCAACTAATCACTTTCCGTCATGTCAAGGACCATATCGTCTTACTCAGTAGGAACCACAATTTGTGGTAACCTACAGTGTCGACGATAAACTCACGCTGGGGTACACGTCTCTGTGGTAGAACAACATAAGTTGCTTCGTGGTTGCGCTTTTTGCTAGGCAATTGACTACATTAAAAGATATCTGTCCTTTACAGAAGTCAAACTTAACGGTAAGTGAAAAACTTGTAGATATTTTGAGGGTACATTCCTTGTGAATTGTAATTGAATCCAACGGTATCACTGTTGTAATAGCACTTATCAGTTCTGCTTTTCATTATTACTCTAATCGGTGTTTTTCGTGTTTCTTTTGTAATCAGATCGTAAGAGAAAGGAAATCGTAAATACCATATCAACTATTCAGGTAAGACTTTATATATTTATTTTGTATAAATATGTTTTGGTTTGATATGCAAGTTATGTATAAAATGTAGATTTGTGTATAATATGTATCGATTGAATATATGGATTAGACGTTTCACTTACTTGATACCACAACTCCATATTTGCGCTTGATTACCATCAAAGCCAGTTCATGAAAGTGTACTGTGCAGACAATTTCTTGTACAAACATAATCTTCCATTCCCTTTTCAAATACACACAAGTATTTTAATTCTTTCTCACGAAAGAAAATAAACTTGTGTGAAAATATGGCTATCACAAGTGCGCTGCTTGCTTGGCTTCAATACATGTAGTCTGAATGCGTTGTTCATAAGATACTATGGGAAAAGTGTGTTCATTGATAAATAATTAAATAATTCCGTCGGTTTTATCAATGGTTTTTGCAGTATTATATTGTTTTCATGACAGGCAACATGTTTCGGAAATAGTGTCGACGTATCTTTTACTCATTCTCATCGAAATTTAATTATGTAAATTGAACATATCCTCAAGATAGAATTAAGCTTACCCATACTAAAATGGTACTACGCTTTCTAAAGAAAACTTTGTTTATCATAAATATAGGAATAAGAGTGAATTCCTTAGATAATAGATATCTTATGTTATTTAATATGCACGCATATCTGTTTACTATATATCTAGCAATTTGGTTTGTGGTTATTTCAAATCATCACTAAACTTGATTAGCAGGTATTGCGTTACAAATAGATCCTGAAAGATAATTTACGCATTGGCTATAGGACAATGTCTTGCGTGAAATGCTTACTGAGATTTTCTTCTTATGCGCATCTTAACTTTTAATCCATCCTATTTTTAACCGACACCACCAAAGACAAACATCAATTGTGAATGTTTACCGTCTAATATTTAATCGTTTCACTCTTTATAATTGGATAAAGTCCTAAAACCTTTTATAGTACGACGTAAAACGTGCGTTATAAATGGAAGATTATATGCATAAAATGCGGATCCGGATGTCATAATTACGGAAGAGGAATGAGGAATACATGTAAAGCGCGCAAAAGATTATAAACTGCGCGCGGATGATCATAAGATAAGACTGATAAAAATAATAAAACGTGGGGAAGCGAGTATAAATTCATGTAATTTAAGTCTCACTCGTTTGGTCAATACATGCAGAAGTAAAACCTTTCCTTTGTTCTAGTTATAATAATATTAAATATTCTCGTTCGAGTCTTGTTTCATAGTTATATAAGTGTGCTTGGAGGGCGCACGTTCCAAAGTGCAAACAGCGTGTTTATGGTACACGCATATGTGTGTGATTTAACAAGTTGCTGACAAACATACACGAATGTGATAACTGGCTGTTGTCGAAATGGCGCCTTAGTTATTTCTGTATAATTTAATATGATCATGTAGTATAAGAAATCGACCACTGAGGCTGAACAAATGCTTGAATTCTTTCAACCAGAAATACTTTTACATTGATCAGTTATGCCTATCGGGGTTTGTTTATGTGTTGGGCTTTCACGCATTCGTAATTCTATCTTTAATTTCACTACGTAGAATGTCTTACATTTTTATCTTAGGATTATATTTCACTCAAGTCTTAAATAAAGATTAATATCTCCTAAGAAATATGAAACAGTATTTGAAATATAGAAGTTAATTTCAGGTCCGGGTTAAAATGCGTGTAAAGTATTTCAGAAGTATAGATGAGAATATCATAATACAAAACACTGTAAACCATTTCAACCCTTGCGATTATTTAACATTAACTGTACGATTGCATGCACTCTTCATACTTAATGGCTAAAATTGACAGATAGATACAGATAAAAAAAGGTTTTAGAGAAGTGCTTCAGTCCAAAGTTCAAACACCTGTTTAAAACATTTGTGATGTTTTCATATGTTGATTTGTTTTCGATTTTAAGTAGCTTACATGGGACCTTGTGACCCTACTAGGCGTGTCTTGACGCAGAAACTATCAACTATTTCCGGATTATGTACTATAGTTCTCATGGACTTTTTGTCATAGTTTGAAATCATGCAATGTTGTATTTCTGTGTATTCCTGTAATTTTTCATGGTTCTCGAAATCCTTGGCTTTCTTCGTGGATATTAACGTCTGACTATAGTGTAAGATCGAAGTTCTAAGATGTTGAATTCTTAGAAAGAGAAACAGCTATATACGAGATCATATTTTTCCTCCACTCGACTCGTATTGCATGCAGAATGATATAATCCTTTGTATGTAGTTTTTCCAAGATAACTTATCTCTCAATCTTAAGCCTGGATCAAAGTGTGAGATCTAGTGCAGGAGAGTTGGTAGTCACGCGACCTTGATTAGCTGTTCTTAGCGCTTTCCCAACACTATCATGTATTTTATTTAAGTTAAAACGTTAGTTGCACTCATCAGAGATCGGAAGTTTGTTAATCTAGAGCTTGAAATATCCCCTGTAACAATGCATGACTGACTGCCAACTCGCATCAACTCATCCTCCGCGGGGCTTTAGGGACCAGTCATTATTTATGGTGGGGGGTGGCACCAAAGAGAAAAGGGTTGGGTAAACAACATTTTGAGTAAGTAAAAGGTTGGGTAAATGAAAACCAAAACAACTCAAGGGTTGGGTAATAAAAAATTATTGTCATTTCCAAAGCATGACTCATTGAAATTTTGGAGACTAAAAAGCATATGTAAATACTATATGTGAATCAATCAGAGTCACTATCTGTCATTTTCCGATTTGTTGGGAGACAAATGCATGGTATCTCCAATTTAGAAACTACATGTGCAGACAATATGAAACTTTAGACGGCAGAACATTTCACAATCCGTTGTCAAACTCATGTCACAGAAGTGGTAAAGGACATGGTGATAACTGAATGGTATCCTTTTGTAAAGTTTTTGACCAGGGGTGGGTATTTATTTTTTAATTGATATTTGAGGTTGGGTAATCAAATTTTTGACTTTTTGGTGGTTGGGTCAGCAAAATTTTTCCCACGAAAAACATTTCTCTTCGGTGCCACCCCCCACCATAAATAATGACCGGTCCCTTAAGTGTCATGATATCAAAATGATAAATTGACAAGTATAATTTCAAGGAGATATGTAATTTTGTTTACTATGTTTTAGGTATATCAGAAGAACCGGTCGTCACAACTTAAAACTATCCAAACGTGATGGGGTTGTCTGGACGTGTAGGTACGGCGATAATCCTAAGTTCAAATTTTCTGATCTGACCATTTTCGCGACCGTTAGATAATACGTTTTAGTATTTTTCCCATGTATTTTTTTTCGTGATGAAAGATTTACCTGTTCTCTCAAATTTTTACTTATACTTCGGTGAACTACACCGGCCAAATCATCATTGAATTGACAGTAAATTCAGATTTTTAATTTTTTTTGAAATCCAGAGTATTTGAAAGGTAGCCATAAATTAAAATAAGTAAAACTTGAAACGAAACGTTTAAAAATTGAAATCAATTTTTTTCTAAGCGTATTGTAAAACTGGAATATTTAACTTGAAAGTATATGCATTTTCATTTTCTAATTTTTTCTCTTCAACATTTTGAATTTAGGTGAATAATTGAATATTTTTTTCTTTCTATCGTTTCAGCGTTTGCTCTGTCCGTGCTCCTTTTTAGCCTCGTTTTAATGATTGTGGGTAAGTAGTTGTTGAGAGAATATCAGGATTTTTGTTCCTGAACAGGAGCAGCTGCGAAAAATACAACTATAGGCCCTGGCAGGGATCGGCCCTGCGATTGCGGTGCGCTCTAACCAACTATACATGAGATATAATACATTAGAGAGCTCAATGAGATGTGGTAAATCTAGGGCGCGGACGTGACAAAAAACACCCTAAACTCGCAGTGTCAGCCAAATGGGTAAAAAATATGGATTCTTTTTGTCAACAAAAAAGGATACAGGTGCATGAAAAACAAATTTAAACTGCTAACAAATCCAAAAGAAAAGCAGAAGTGACTGTCTTTTTGTCACGTCCGCGCGTACTAGATTTAGCTCATCTTAAGTTCGTTATTTTGAGCAAGGCTACGTAATACTTTGACCAATTTAAGTTCACTTACCAATCTCGAAGAAGCACTTTCTTTTCTTACACTTCTTTCTTTACTTAGGCTCAATATACTTAAACGATTGCCCAGTAGAGAAAAACATCCCAATATTCCTAATAGTCGCAGGGATCACAGGAATTCTCCTAGTTCTGTTATCGTTTCTACAAAGCGGGTGCTATGATGAAGACAAAGAATCAGACCTAAGCTGCTGGAGAGTGTTAATACTGGTAATCATGGTCTTTTGGTCTGCATGGTTGATTGCAGGATCTTTTTGGATTTATTCCAACTACCAGCCAAGTTACAGCAATGATACAAAAGAAATGAAGCGATATTGTGATAAAGTCCTGTACTTATTTTCATTCTGGGCTATTAATTTAACCTATATGTTCTTCGTTATATTTCTTATTGCTGCCGTATTCTTGTATCTGTGCATGCCTGACATTTGGAGTCAGATTTGGGGCTATTAAGAATTTGGATGGAGTCAAGTATGTGTCAATATACATGCACCTGTATGAAATGATAACCTTATAAGTGACAAGTGCTCATACACATCGCTTATCTCGTACAAAATTAAGGACTGAATTTCTGAACTATTTTTGTAGTCTAGAGCATATTTCTTTAGTCTTTCACTATTTCCTATTCCTACTTTGTAATCCTCCTTATATGGCCGTTGTGTAAAATAAACTGTGGACTAATTCCCTCCAATAATAACATGTACAAACTACACAAGTTTTCAGCATCCACTTTATAGACCTAGTACTAGTTTATTTTAGTTTTCAAGTAAAGGTTATGGACTTCGCTCGTTTTACTATCGTTATTTTTAAACTTTAACATTTTGTCAGTTTCCTTGTACATTACCCCGATAATTTTAGGCTGAGCTTAAATATATTATTAGCTTTTTATAATAATAATGGTTTATTACATTCACTAAGTAGCTTGTTAAGCTATAATACAGTGATGTTTACAGTGACAGAACTTTTACAATAAAATGTAATATAAAAAGTATTAATACTATGGTCTCTACTAAACTAAAAGTTACTTTAATGTAAAAAGTCTTAAAACTATTGTCATATTTACAGATAGAATTAGATTATGTTAATTATTACTCACTATAATATAAAAACCCTCATGCTTATACTTATCAATATAAAGATTATATTTGCCAATTGCATATACAATTGGACTATGTTTAAAACGTTCTGTTTTACATGCGAAGTTGTAGTACGTTGCCTCATTCATTCTCGTCTCTCGTTTTCTTTTTGCTGTTGCAACGTTATTTTGCTTTATTTGCTTTAAGAATTAAGACCGCGTTTGTCAGTTTTGCGCGCATGTACTTTCTATTCATTTTGCAATATTTGAATTATCTGATAGTTCATTACCTTCAGGGGACTTCATAAAACGAAGAATAATGATAAAAAGTTCCATCTTGAAACTCAAGATTTGAGACAAACAGGAATATAAACCTTTGTGTCCTATTTTTGACTCACGGATCTGTGAGTCTTTGTGGAAACTTGAGTGTGCGGCTGTTGAACAATGGGAAATGACCAGCCTGCTTTGCGCGTACTGTTTGTCCGCGAATCTGGCCATTCAGAACCGGAAGTCCGGCTGGAGCAAGCGTTCGTTCTTTTGATTTGGCAAAAGGAACACGACAAATGACAAAATTCGCACGGTGCTCCTTTTTGCAAAAACAACTGCAAACTGCTTTAATTCTTTCCGTCACTTTCACCTGATCTCATCCGTGAGTCCGTCTCAACGGCCTTTGATTCTCAAATATTGAGTTGCAAGGTGGTACCATGGATTGTAAAATTTATTTTATTCAGGATTCGTAGTCTCCAAGACCAAAAAAATTCAAAGACTTTCAAAGATTTTTTCTGCCTATTTTCAAAGACTTTTCAAAGACCTTTGAGGGCAATCAGCTGTCGAAAAATTGCGAGTGTAAACACCATTTTTACCCAGTAATTAGTCCCTTCAAATCACATCCTAAAATGCGCATTTTCGTCGATATTTTCGAAAATCTTGATTCAGTCAATCTATTTTATTAGCTAGGAAATCGTATAATCAATTCCTCGCTAAAGAATTTAAAGACTTTTAAAGACTTTCTTCGCTTTTTCACACAATTTAAAGACTTTCAAAGACCTCAAAGACCTGCATTCCAATTTAAAGACTTTCAAGGATTTCAAAGACCGCTACGAACCCTGTTATTATCCATGGTGGTACTTTTCTCGCAACCAGTAAGTGTTAAACAATAATAAACATCATACTTGAAGTGCAGGGGACGGGAAACGTTTACTTGGTAACAGTATTTTTCCCGCTGAAAATTCTGATCTATGTACGCCTTACTGGAGTCAAACAAAAATATTTGTGCACGCAAGTTCGAGCCGGAACTTCACGGTCCTAGCATTTTACAGGACAATAATATGCCTCAATTTCTAGCTCAGTCCTTTTTTCTCCCAATATTTTTATATTAAAATTCAAAATATTATCTTTCCAAACGTTTAATTTTCTCGTTCAATAATACTGAAGTGAGTTTCCTTGGAAAACGTTCTTGAAAATAAAATCAGCTAGTCACGGGGCAGGTTTCGCACCTTTAAAAATACAATATTTTGAAGACAAAACGGTACAAGAAATCTACAAAAAATGCAAATAAATATTCAAATTTGTACCTATAAGCAGGATCTCTTAGACGTAGAACGGTTCTTCGTTTCACTAGAAAAGACAAAGTTTCAAATATTTTGTGATAATTGCACAATACAAAACGTTCGACTAGTTCTAAACTCTGCCAAATTGACAATTTGAATGGCATTACTGTACAAATTTGTGCAAAATTTCGCCTAAAAACATTCGTTAAAGTTTAAGAGTACCTAAAAGGACCTAGTAGGAACTGTGAAACGCGATATCAAGTTTGTTGAAGTTGTATAAAACAGTCTAAAACGAACCAAGTTCGCGAATTCGCCGGTTTGCCCGCGAAACTGTTTGGCGCTGAATACAGTAGAATACGGACATAAAATACACAAAATAAACAACTTTATACCTTTACTTTCATTGTGCTTCCTTTTGTGCGGTTTTCTCCGTCTTTCCAGCATCTTTTTCGATGTTTTAAGCGAGTTTTAAGAGGACGAAACCCAAATTTGTTCGGGTAGAAAATCATTTGAATACGGCCGTTACGGCCGAGAAGCTTGTTTTGGCGCGCATGAAATTCACGTTTCTGATTGGTTACCGCGAGTCATGTGACCTTTGGGGCCTCTGTATGTAACTTGAGTAATAACAGAAACAAAATATTAAACCCTAAATGGCTACTATTGTTCACATCTACTCTCAGGATTCCTATTTACCCCCCAGAACTTAGTCCAGTTACATAACAGCGATCATGTGTTAATATGACGTATTAATAAAATCCATTAATCCGATTGGTCGAGAGTGGGGGATAATTATCCAGATAATAATTTATCATTAAAATAACTATTCTTTGTTCAGCCTGTGGTCAAAAGGAAAAATATCAAACATTTATGTTTAATCTTGAGCGAAAAACGATCGAGAAATAAGAAGTATGGAGGAATCCGAATATTGTGAAAAAGTGCGGTTTAGGGTTGTACTCCATCGTCCAGGTAATTCGAGTGTTGAACAAGGGGCGAAATTTAGCGAAATCTCGGAGCAGGATCAGAGCTTTGTTTACATCGAGTCATCGAGTAATTTGTCTTCTCTTGCGGCGAAATTTCTGCAACCGTTATACGAGCAGGGTAGAGTCGAGGACAAGGATATACTCAAGGCTAGTAATGTCAAAGGTGGGGGTATTTCATGTACTGTTTTTGAACAAAAATTATAATTTTATAGTTGTTTGGGATGTGTTGTATACTTTTGAATAAATAATGATTGGTATTGGATTACATCCCTTCGATATAATAGAGGTTCGGATTTGCGTCACTCCGACCTTGGCCTAGGGACTCGCTCTCATAAATCAAGACGAAGGGCAATTCACTTACACTTCCTAATTATTAATTAAGAATGAGGCTTACTGACCAAGGAAAAGCAGGTAGTATTTCCAGTCAGCAGCAAAAAGTAGCCTTGAACCCAGGCCCTTAGTTTGCTGATAGGTTGAGTGTTTACTGTGTTTTATATGGTGCTAAATATGGTATATATTTAGCACCATATATGGTATATATATATATTGACAGATGATAATCAATATTACATATTATGTACGTATTTGCTATCAAACACAAAGTCAGTACATATTGGGCTCTTGCAAGTGATGTCACAATACTTATTGTTGACTTCCACCATTTTGGGTTGCAAATTAAAAATAGTTAATTGAAAGTAAACATGGAGTCAAAGCAAGACTATGGCACTGACTGCAGCTGTTGCTTTTGTTTGAGCACTTTAAAAAGTTATGCTCCACAGTTATGCTCCACAGTTGAATAAAATATGTTCACCACTCAAAATGGCGGATTATTTTTGATGATACGTCATACTGAAAGACCTGAATAGTGAACAATTTAATTATTCAAATAATTTTCCTAATTTAAAGTTGACTACCGTGTGCAGTGAAACCCACCATACCTTCCTTTTGACTTTCTTGTAGTGTTCATTCAAGTACGACCAACATGGAAGCCATTACCTCTTTCCAGTTTTGTTTACAAACAAAATCAGTCAGATCTAAGTTTGGAAACAGTTTTTGGGCCATTGTTGTATGTCAATGACAGTGAGATGGTTGTGCATTTGCACCTTTGCAATGAGTAAGATACCTCATGATATTTTTAGTTAACTAGCTTGCACTTTCACAAAACAATTGTAATTGTTGCTTTTTAAATTTGCATTAAATTTATTCCACTTTATTATTTTGACAATCTGACTTTTTCAGAAAAAATTGGACAGATGAGACTGCACGAGATGTTGTGAAGCAACTTTTGCAAAGTTACAGTCAAACACAACTAGAAAGATTAAACTGCCCTTTTTCACAGGTGAGTATTTGGAGCAGTCCGTCAGCTTGGCATGTTTGCAGTCAGTCAGTTAGATGGGCAGTAAGTCTGTTTATCAGAATCAGTCACTCACCCTGATGTGCCCTACTTTAGTATTTTACTCTGTCTAATGCCAAACGATTTTACTCATCAAGTAGAGAGTGCTGCCACTCAATGGGTTAACCAAACAAACTGCCCATGCATCTTCTTAACCCCTTAAGTGGCAAAGCACCCTGATGCGCCCTACTTTAGTATTTTGCTCTGTCTAACGCCAGACTATTTTGCTCTGTCTAACGCCTGACAATTTTACTTATCAAGTGGAGAGTGCTGCCATTCAATGGGTTAATCTATCTGTCTGTCTGCACAACACTCAGTCAGAATATTGGAAAATTGCTTTTTCCTTGTCTAGGGAATGTTATCCCAAATCTCTCGAGACCAGTATTACTGCAAGGTATCAGCTGAGAAAATCCGTCTTTTTGGTCAATGGTACAATGCCATGATGCTCTCAAAACCAGAAGACGCAGATGACAATGAAGATATGCCATTGAAACGAGGCTCCTACGTAATGCAACGTAGTAAGAAGATAGTTTTTTCTAAAGAAGAGTTGCCCCTCCTTAGAGCTTCATTCAAGGCACTGTCCCACCCCTCTACGCAAAGAATGACCGAACTAGCTGAGGAATTAAACAAGACAGAGTTTCGGAAAACCCACGGTAGAAAGAAAGTTGATTTCTGTCACGTGAACAATTGGTTTAAAAACGAACGATCACGTGTCAGGAAAGGAAATCACGAATTTTCACAAGTAGCATACAGGACAGAGTACAGTATGCTGGGGTCTGGGACTGAGGGGGTGTTGTTGGGGATCAAGGAGAGTGAGGACAATGAAATAACGAGTCCAGTGTCATAGTATGGACATCGTGACAATTTTAAAGGCTATAATAACGAATTAGATACGGTTCCTAAACCCCGAATGGTCGAATCGCTTGGTCAAATTTCCTTAATTACTTACTATCCCACACGTTTTCCCTCGATTTTTCTCGTTCCGTGTCCAGCGACTTGCCGAAATCTTAAATCCCGCCATTTTTATCCCTTTCGTCCTGTTTCCCGCTACCAACGTTATCCCTCGTCCCGCAAAGCCTATTGTGCGTTCCACCATTTTTGTCCGAGTTAAACAACATTAAAAATATGTCGTTTCTGGAAGGACCGGCAAAGTTTTTGTATCAGCAAGGCCAAGGAACGATGTAGTAAATTACTTGTACAAGGTTGTTGAGCTCAACAGACTTTGTTACAAGTTGTAGTCGAACATGTGATAACTTCTATATTAACTAAACAATATATCTAATCTAGACTACTAATTTCTAAAACCAAAGGTCGAGGAAGAAAGCTTTTTGCAAAATGAATCATAAGAATGATAAGATACCGAAGTTCTTATCATTCCATAATTGAGCCCCCTAGTCACTATAATAGAAACTTTTTTCAGGAATTCTGTCCTAGCCGCCTGGGAATAAAAAGCCTAGACAGTCGAAGAATCCCTCCAATTGTAATTATTTATTGACTATCGTTGCTTCTCATGGACGTCATGGGCATCTTTTTAGACAACCGAACCTTTCTTTGGCTTTGCATTTTTCATCTCCAAAAACCCTTTTTAATTACTACCTTTTTAAGCAACCGGACTTAATTGCATATGATTACCATCTGCTACACTCACTGTGATTTTGCATGGGTGCAGGTCCGTGCATGCAGATAGCGATATATTTATAGCGAAGAATACTATAATTCAGCTGGCTACAGCATTCCGTAATAAATACACACGCATGCAAGGTGCAACCAGACAAGCATGTTTGTAAAAATTATTAAAATTTCCACAACGTATACGCTGTCTTGGTAACGTCGTTTTGTTTACATGCATTTTGAATAACATTAATCCTTGCAGTCTTTCATCAGTCAGATATTTGCCTAGCCAGTGATTACTCTGGCTTGACCTATGACATTGTACATAAATTTATTTGTCTGCTAACAAAGCTGTAAAGCGAAAGCACTCTTCAGACTTTACATGGCGTGTTCTCGTGTTGAGATAACGCCGATTCAATCTGAAACAGGTTTATTATAAGTCCTGCGGTTTCGCACACGGGAAGAAATATTATGTCGATACAAATGAATGAGAATAAAGGTTCTTATACGGACTACTTGTATAAGAAAGAAGCGAAAGGCAAGGTGAGTGTAATTCCAGTTTATTCTAAACTGTACTATAGTCTATAGTTGAAAAGATATTTCTGAAGATAAATGCCCAAGACGCTCATAGAAACGTCATTAAACGAGACGCATCATAATTAGCCATGTTTAATAACAATACTGAAGTCTATGCCTTGTTTATATATTTTCCCTGTACGTATGTTTGTTATATTTCTCGTTTATTTTACCTTCTCCTTTCAAGAGCTTAGTGCACTCGCCATCTGCAACGCAGTAGAATTCTGTGGACAATGTCATTGACAATGTTCTACGATGCGTTTATCCTAGAAATTCTGAAGTCCGCGCCTGATTATCAAAATTTTCTTTTATATAGTGGGTTCCTTATTGGGTCATACTTGACGGAAAGTTCTTGAAATTTTACGAAACGAACAAAAGCGAAAACGTATGTTATTTTATATATTTCTCTTTATAAATATCTCCTGTTATAGATTATGTAAAAAGAGAATGTACATGCAGGAAAGTATACTGAAGATGCAGGTCGATGAATTTGCAAAAATACGACAATCTCAGTCATGATATTGTTGAAGAGTTGAAAGTTCACGTCTCTTTTTTGAAATACGAGACGTGTCTTGAATTTGTCAATGACAAAATGACAAGGAAAAATACAAGCTCAATTACAATATGACAAGGACTTCCTTTTATAAAGCCCTGGGCGAACAAGTGATATTTGACGTAATCCCTTGACATAATTAGCCTAGATTTTTCCACACATAGAAGAAACAAAATTTGAATCGGCTGAAAGTTGATGCGAGTGTAGTAGTCGATGAGCGTTGGCCGGTGAAACCCGAGCGAAAGTTGCAACTCTCGTATACTCTCATCCTCGTTTAATCAGCCATCCGGGCTTCAGTGTTGTGGTTTGGTGACTCCTTGTCTATACCTTTATATGAAGAGATTTACTGGAGGTTTTGATCTAGATCGAGGTAATTTTAGGAATGTACCCATGTATAAATAGGACGAAATTGGCTGCAGTCACGATTATATTGTATACACAGGTGCCATTTCAAGCTCTAAATTAACAAAATAAAGGTTTGATAAGTGTTCCAAGTACGTTTTAACTTAAACAAAATACATAATAGTGTCGGGAAAGCATTGAGAACAGCCAACCAAAGTCGCCCAACTTCCTCGTTTGATCATAGGTTTGATCCAGGCTTTATAAGGACTGTCTATACATTTGGTATTTCTCCCTCTTTACCATGTTAATAGTTGAAATGAAAACTGCTATATGCCCTAGATAGTCTTTATGCTTTATTACTTGCTTTTTGTTTTAGTTAATTGGAAGTGTCGAAATTGGAAGCAAAAGTAAATGCGTCGTTTCTAAACGCAAGGCATACAGTTTTCCTTTCATACTCTGTGCTGCTCATGGACGTCATTTGTTTAAGGTTTGCTTGACCACTTCGCCCATTGAGTTATCAGTTGGATAAACGTAATATATAATGCACGATACATGCCAAAGTTGGATTGCCTTTTTTAATACACCCTTATAGTTAGTATACTAAATATTTTTCAATTTTCATTCCAGTGCGAATCAGCTGCCCGACGACATCGGTGGATGACAGCAATTCATCAGGCAGCCGAGGTAACTAACAAACCAAACTTGCTTTCTTGTGAATTCAACTATCTCGCTTTTCTGTTCAGTTCACGTAGTTCACTGAGTTTAGTGGATAGCGAACTGAAAAAAACTACATCTATCTATCTTTATTAATAATGGAATGCCGTGGTTTGTTTCTGAACTACTCACTAAAGGACAAATTAAGGCTCAAACTTCGTCAGACGATTCGGCAGTATACTATACATAAACAGCTATCTGAACAGTAAAATAAGTTGTGCTATAACGTTTTGTCTTACAGCTGTTAAGATTTTCCACCTCCCATGAAAACAACTTTACAATCAGTGACTTCGAAAATAAAGAACTAGAGAACATCATTGATAACAGTGAAAATGATGAAGATATTTTACCATCAAATGTTTTGCTTGTTGCGTCACTTCCGACTGCGTGTGATTCACCGTCTTTGCCTTTCAAGCTTCGAAATCGAGTAAGAGAATTTTCAGATGAAAGCACAGAGTGTAAGTATGCTGTATGGTATGCTTTATTTGTTTTTTCTTTCTTTCTTCGGTTGTCTGTTTAATGTTGCTCATATATGTCCTGAATTTTCAATTTTCAATGGGCAATTCCAGCTTTTAGGGAATGATGGGAAGTAAGGTATCACATAGCTGATTATGCTGAAAAAATAGAAATGGTGGCCGCGTAAACACGGAGTGATAGCTTATACTGATAAAATTGAAATATTTCGGTTGTTTCGGTAGTTTTTATTGAACTGAATTTTTAAGCATAATCAGTCTTCCCATCATCCCCTGCAGGCATAAACTAAAAGCTGGAATTGCCTATTGTTGCAAAAAGCCGGAATAAAGAAATTGACTGACAGTACAGTATGCAACAGCGAATACACCTATTAGGTTACAGTTATATTCAGTAGTCATTCCCGCATAAAGACGTCAAGGCAACTGTGTGTCTTAGGAACCCAAGATCTCACTTTTTCAGGTCTCTTGCTTTCTCGATCTAAATACACATAAAAATATTTCTTTTAGGTCAAGACGGAAAGACATCTCCAAAACATAAAAGTATTGTTTACCCATTCGACAGAAACTCCGAACAATCGTTCCAAAGAATTTCTGATTTGGAGCGAGAACAGTTTAGTTCATTAAACATTCATTCGTCGTTTGAAAGTGATTCACTTTCGCCTCGAGTTCGAAGTTTTCCGACGACTCCCGAAAAAGGTGCTCGCCCGATAAGCCCTGCACTGTCACTGACTTCAGGCTCACCGTATTTTGGGAAATCTCGATCGTTGAATTCTCTGACGTCATCTCGAACGGACATGCGTTTTTCCCGCCATATGGTCAGCGGTAGTGATTGCGGCGATATGGAAGTGTAAAAATATGACTTATTATTTAAATAGAAGGTAGTAAATTTTGTAATTTATATTATGACGTTAATATTGTTAGTGCCAAATTTGGGGGTACTTTAAATTGCACATATACATACGCACAGCATATGCCATATACATTGTATTAATTTATAGTTAGTTCGGTTAATTAAGTTTATTAGCTGCAAAAATAATTGTTAATACAGCTTTGATATTATGTGATTTCAGACATGGGTATAGTTAGAGGTTTCACGTTCGCAGAAATACGTATACAGCATAATATAAAGGCTAGTATATAATGGCGAACTGAAACACTCCGTTGGCGTTGCTAAGCTAACGTGGGTTTTGTTTTGCGAGCGTGAAAAAGCCTCTGTCACCCAAAGTATGGTAAATGCATGCAGGAAAGTACTTAAAATTCAAAGTGACTTTTCAAAATCAATTGTGCGGTTCGTTTGACATAACTTATTTATGCCGACTTTTAGTTCGACATATCCGGAGCGATTCAACTAAGATTAATAAAGGTTCTTTGTTAGTATCTATAAAGGAGAGCAATAAACTACAGAGTGGCCGAGTCTCATCTGCTGAAGTGGTAGTGCTTTATTGATCAAAACGATGGGAATTTACCCACGATATTGGCATATATTCTTCAGAAATTTGGGAAGCATTTTGTGTGGTTTCAGACCGGGAAATTTCACCAAGAGTTACCAAAAAACAAACAGACGTTTGCACGCAACATTGACGGCCTTATTTGGAAAAAACAAGTTTATCTCAAACGGTAGAAAAAATCCATTTTTGCAAAGTATTATTATTATTATGGTTTATTAGCATATCATCGCTTAACTCGTTGTTTTATGCAAATCGGTGGGAAAAATTAAACTATAGAGTAAAGTCAGAGCTATATATAGATGTACAATAATAATAGTTTATCTAATTAGAAAAAGATATACGGTTTTTTGTTGGATTACGAATAATTTTCTAAGATATTATATTTATAATATCAAATAAATAACGGATTTCAGTGAGGTAAAAGTTGTGGTCTTCTACCATTTAGTCTATGTAATATTATTAGTTAACCTAGAGCTATTGTATTTCTGATAGCAAGGAATAAAATATTTCAAGAAAACGATGCATGAACGCACGAATTTCTGCTACATTCAAGGGGAAACCCCTTTCCCCTTATTCACGAGCTGACTCAGGCAGCGTTTACACTGTACCGTTTTCGTAGCGTTCTCGTATTGTTCGAGAGAACTAGACTATTGTCTTGCGTTCCCTTGAGGATTAAGAACAATACGAGAACGCTACGAAAACGGTACAGTGTAAACGCTGCCTTAGGTGCAATTTACTTTGATCACCTTACGGCAGAGGAGGCCCAGGCTCGATTTGCCCGCGCACGGCAATCAGGAAAATACCTTAAAAGGCTAAACTTGATATGAAGTGGATCTCTAGGTGTGACCACTTGACGTTCACAAAAAGGTGACATTTTCATCCAAAGTATATTACAGTTCATTTCATTGTTGTCTGCAGCTGCATTCAGAGCCAGAGGTCTCAAGTTCGGAGTGCCGTCAGTTCAGGCAGTTAAAACCTAAGTTTTACTCCGTTTGTTTTTGGTTTTGTATTTTTTAAATCATGAAAAGTGTGCTGATTGCTGTTCTTATTCATTCTCTTCTTGTACGTGGATTACCTCGGCCAAAGCGGTAAGTGGACATTTTTTAAATCACATTTTCCAACTGAAAAAGAGAAACTGATTATCTTTGTTGTAAGAAATAAATCGTATAGTATCGAACCCATTCAAACGTGCGGGTTAACTGCAACTTATTGCAAGTAGTATAAACAAGGGCGTCATGCCTTGGGGGAGACGAGGGGGGTGGCACTTTTTGGTCATTTATATATAGACTATATAACAAAGTCGTCTGTTGACCGACTTTGGATTTTCTGGCATTTTGAAAATTAGTCGAAAGTTTACTCGAAACCTTGTATCACATAATTATATTAACCTTTATTTTATATTTCATTTTTTTGTTGCATGGGTTTCCAAATTTACCTCCACTCTTCATGGTTTTTCATTCGTTTATTTCATATGTTCGTAGGTTGGTAAAGAGAGCTGCAAACCTTAATCCCGGATTCAACCTGGAGGCATTCCGCCAAGACCAACTGGACCTACACAATCATTACAGACAGCTTCATGGTGTTTCTCTGATGACCAAGGATGACACGTAAGGAACTAAACTGAATTTTACTTTATTTCCTTCATTAACAAGTGCAACCGTCTATCAGAAAGCGTCGGATTGTGGGAATGCAACGAGAAGAATACAAGAAAAACGTCGCCGGACATTTTGAACGAAGGCTATCCCTGTCAATCTGAAGCTTTCTTATTATTGCCACTATACCTACACTGCAGGACATTTTTTAACAATATAACTGCTGGGGCATTTACCCCAGTAGGCTCTTTGCTTGCCCCAGTAGTGAACCAATATTTTCAGATGAGCTGGGCCCTTTTGATCATTAATAAAAAATCAGTCCTTGTTGAAAAAGCTACGTTTTCATGCTTTCTCATATCCTCTCACATTCTCGACATTCCATCTTATATAAAGGTCAGCATAGCATGGTCTATGTACGCGTAACTGTGTGAGGAAAAAGCCTTTATTAAAAAATGCCCTGCTACACTGGCATATAACGTATATAGTGAACGATTGATATGGCCGTATTGGATAGTAAATAGCCTGGTGATGGAAGCGATACGAAGTAGGATCATTCATTCCATGCAGTCAAGTAATAAAGTCGCGTGTGGTCGGTTTTGGTTAAACTGTAAAACAAAAAGTCCAAACTGCGCACTTTCCAAGTGTGCATTTGTTTAAATTCTTGACGATTCTTTAAAATTTACCTAAATATTATTTTTTAACTTTTTCATGCTTCTATCTTCTTTAGGATGACCCAAGAAGCTCAAGATTACGCGGAATATTTGGCAGAGAAAAATTTATTTCAACATTGTGGCCGAGGTGAATCCTGTAATCCTGGCGGAGCTGGGGAGAATTTAGCGTATGCTGGGGGCCACATGTCTGTCGAGACCAACGCCACATTGAGATGGTAAGAGAAACATATGGTAAAAATGGTTGGCAAGGAAATGAAGGGAGGGCAAAATAAAGAAGGTTCGGGAACTATAGGAATAGGAAACAAGTCTATCGGCACATATACCTGTATGAACAGGCTTTGTGATTGGTTGATCATGACAATAAAAGACAATAAACTATGTTGAAGGGATTAAATCATTTGTCTGTATTGTTCATCTGGATTACTTATGCCAAAACTTTTATTTATTTATTTTTTTTATCAGCTTTATTGGACATAAAAATTATAGATTACAAGGTGATCTATTTACAGTAAATATATATACATAATGCAATTTAGGAACGATGGCAGGAGCAGTCGCGTGTGAGTGACCAAGTGCATCAGTGGCATATCCACATTAAAAGTATCCTTGACCAAGTTG